CCTCTAAAGCTGTTTTCTTGCCCATGGCTAGAGTGCTTTCTGGGATTTATTGCTAACCAAAAAATTAATGAAAATTATAAAGCAGTTTTTGAAGCATAATTTCAGACAGGGTTTTATGTTATGAGAAGCCTGACAGGCGAGCACGTCCAGAGCCACACCCAAAGTCATGCTACACTCAATCTTGTGAAGAGTTTTCAGACATCTCAATGACGTGATGAGATGCAATATCAAATGCAAGGATTATAGGCTTGTTTTACCGATTCCTTAACAAAGCCCAGCCTCCCGGTAACCAAGGACCAGCAGCCACAACCCTGAGCTGGATCACCTTGGAGATGTACTTAATAATAATAATAATAATCCTTGCATTTGACAAAGTGCTTTATCCCATTGTTGAGACATCTCACAGCTTGTAATGAAAATTCTGTAGAGTCCTGTATGCTCAGTGGTTAGAGCACTCTCCTCAGAGACCTGGGTTCGATTCCCGGCAGGGGCGAAACCTTGGGCTAGTTTCCTTACTCAACACATCTGATAATAATCCCTCAAAAAAAGAAAAAAAGAATAGTAATAAATTCATCACTTCAATCCACGACTGTTTATGGGACACTGCTGTGCGCAATTGGCTGCCGCGTTTCGCCCACAAATATATGGTCACTTCACTTTACAGTATATTCTGTGACGCACTTTGAGACATCTAGAAGACGTGAAGAGCACGATATCAAAGGATTATATTATTATAAAGTGCTTCACGGAATATACTGTAAAGTGGAGTGATTGTATTTTGTTGGCGAGAGAACCCGGGTTAGATTCCGGGTGGGGCGAAACCTTAGGAAAGTTTGCCTACTCCACAGGCCTCTTTTTAACCTATCAATAAGTAGGAACCCGGTTGCTAGTCGATTGGCGGATGGCTTTCTAGGGCTAACCATCCTTTCAAACAAAAAGAAAAGAAAATGTGTTCACACAATCCACGACTGTTTGTGGGACATTGCTGTGGGCAATTGACTGCTGAGTTTTGCCCACAGAATACAGTCAATTCACTTTACAGTATATTCTGTGGAGCACTTTGTGACGTCTCAACAATGTGATAAGGCGCTATATCAAATGGAAAGATTATTATTAGAAACCTTGTTTTTTTTCACTGTTAAGGGGCCTATTTAGTTTGCTTTCAACAATTCTATAGTGGCGGCCTCATTAGCCACACCCTAACAGGTCGAGTCTGGGAAAAGGGGGGAGATGACCATAAGCACGGTCACAGTTCACCTGAAGGTGAGGAAGGAAGGGACAAGGCGGAGGGAATGAGGAAGAGTGTTCCAGAGTTTCGGGATGTAGTGGCTGAAAGCCCGGCTGCCAATGGTGGAGCGGAGGTCACGAGGGACAAGCAGGAGGCCCGAGCCAGATGAACAGAGGTGTTGGGAACGGGAAGTAAGCAGATCGATGAGGTAGGGAAGTGCCAGGCTTTGAAATGATTTGAAGACAAGTGCGAGGATCTTGAAATCAATACGATCGGTTGGTAGGGAGTCAGTGTTAGCTTGCGGTTAGCAAGATGTCAGGGTCAGTCCTAATCCACACAGGCAGCTCAGACCTCTCAGTCTACGTCACGCACCGATAGAGCCAGAGCTCTAGATGGGCCAGGGAGACCAGCTTACAAGGAACTGCTACCTACCCAGAAGTGCCTGTTATGCCATTCTGTCACTTTTTCTGCTTGAAAAGCTTTTGAATTTGTGATAAAGTGGCTCTTGGAATGAGGCTTTAAGCCATTGCAGTTACTTGTCATGATTCAGTGTAATTGGCATCTGCAGTCTCATTTCAGGCTGCGTTCCTCACCTCCCCCATGTGGCTAATTGTGCGCTTTGTCCGATCAGAAATGATTTAGGAAAGAAATCCATATTTAATTGATTTTCTCGACTGTGTGTAAAACTGTAGCTGTGGAGTTCATCGCAGCAAAACGTTTTTTTTCTGCAGTCAGTCAGTCAGTGCTGCAGGATGTGAGTGAGAGATTGACAGGGCGAGGGAGCCTGAAGGAACATCAGTAGACACACAGTTAGTGACTCAGGGCTTGGTTGAGATACACAGTGCACCTGAGCCCTGCACCAAGCTCCCTGACCCTATCACCACCGTCCTCGCCTGACTCCCCAGAGGATAGAGTTCAAATTCCTCGTCCTCACTTTCAAAGCTCTCCACAGCCTCGCTCCCCCCTGTTTCCGTGACCCGCTAACTCCATATCGACCTGTCCGCTCCCTCTACTCGGAGGGCTCTGGCGTGCTCTGTGTCCCCCACCCAGCCCAACTCACCATCAGCGGTCGGGCCTTCAGCCTCTCTGCCCAAACCGTTGGAACTCCATCCCCCAGTTCCTTCGCCTCGCTCCCTCCCTCACCTCCTTCAAGGCCCGTCTCAAGACCCTCTTCTTCGACTGCGCCTTCGGTCATGCTCCTACCCCCCATCCTTGCTGCCCTCCACTCCTGATCCCAACCCCCAGCTCGAGTCCAAATCCCCGATTGTCCAGTACCTTGGGACGTTCCTCCGAAGTGAAAGACGCTGTGTAAATGTAATCTTTGCAGAGATTCCCCGCAGTGAGCTAACCATTCTAAAATGTCTGGTGCAGAGGAGAAATTTCCTCCTCGCTGCTCAAAGTGTTGTCATTTCATTTTATGAACAGACCCCACAGGGCTCGGTTGCTGTGACAGTTTCTATAATTTGTGAATCCAACTGGACAAAATAGACCGACATCTCGGAAGCATTGAGTTCAGCCAAGCCGTTTAATGCAGGAACAAGAGTACCCTTTTCAACATATCCTGCAGAGGATATCTTATATAATAATCATAATAATAATAATTAATAATAATCCTTGCATTTGTGATGAGCCACAAACATGCATTGAATGATTACATTTTTTTTAAGGGAAAGCGATCCGCTAATCGACTAACAACTAGGTTCCTACTTACTGCTGGGTAAATAGAGGCGTGTGGAGTAAGGAAACTTGCCGAAGGTTTCGCCCTGCCCGGGAATTGAACCCGGGTCCTCTCGCTTGCAAGGCGAGTGCTCTAACCACTACGCTACAGAGCTCCATAAATTATTGAGAAATGCCACAATATAAACCACAAAATTAGAAATCTGATAAGAAATACCACAAATTAGAGTCATAGAGCCTTTCAGTAGAGTCCCGTAGTGTAGCGGTTAGTGCGCTCTCCTCGCACGTGAGAGGATCTGGGTTCGATTCCTGGGTGGGGCAAAACCTTAGGCACGTTTCCTTACTCCACACGCTTCTGTTTACCTAGCAGTAGGTAGGAACCTGGTTGCTAGTTGATTGGCGGATCTCGTTCCAGGGTAAAAATCCCTTCAAAATAAAATAAATACATTTGGTCACTCAGTCCACGACTGTTTGTGGGACATTGCTGTATGCAATTGGCTGCCCTGTCTCGCCCCGAATATATAGTCAATATTTCCTGTGAAGTGCTTTTGTGATGTCTTAAATTCATGATAAGGTGCTATATCAAATGCAAGGATTGTTATTGCTATGTGAAAGTGGGTGTGACGCTGGGTTCTTCAGTCTAATTTGCAGTATTTCTTAACAGATTTCTAATTGTGGTTTACATTGTGCCATTTCTCTGTAAGAAATGTTCTGTGCTTTAACTTGTGGTATTTCTTAAGCAATTACAAACCTGAAGTTTATTTTGCAGTCTTTCTTATCAGACGGTTTGTGGTTTCGTTTGCAAATGTATTTCTCAATAAGAAATGTGTGATTATTACATTTCTGAAGCATCAGGCGTGCGTCTCGCTAATTACACATTTCTTACTAAGAAACGTCGCATTTTAGATCCCGGTTAAATTCCGTCTCAGCTGCCAGCGGTTTCACCAGAGCAGTGATGCCTGCGACTGATTCTGGGACAACCAACTGCAAATGATATGGAATAGGGTTTCCATCTCAATACATTTCAAGCTGGGCATGTTTTGTGCACACCCTGAGCGCTCGCTCGGTCTGTTTATTTAGGGGCATTCAGCCAGATAAAGAAATCACCCTGAGCAGCCACCTCTGTATTTAATCCCCTCAGCTCATTTGTTACTCACTATAACTGCTTCGCTCACAGTAAGCGACTCACAGGATCACGGTTTTCACTTCCCATTATATCCGAGCTGGTAAAATCGGTGCTCGGAGCTGGCTCGCTCGCGATCACCAGTCTCTTTACTCCCTGTCTTCCTCGCAACGCCTTCCATCCTTCTCCTCTGGCAAATAGATTTTCAGCACAATTTACATCAAATAGATTGTGCTCACCCACTGGACTAATTTCAGTCACTGTTTAGGGTTAGAGGCAAATGCATTGCAAGACCACAGACCAAAATTCCACCAGTCTCAGCCTGCGAGACCATTTCACCTTCAAACTGGAGCTCTACAAGTAATCACTAGTGATCACTAATCACTAGTGATTAGCGCACTCACCTCTCAAACGAGAGGACCCGGGTTTGATTCCCGGGCAGGGCGAAACCTTAGGCAAGTTTCCTTACTCCACATGCTTCTTTTTACCCAGCAGTAAGTAGGAACCCAGTTGTTAGTCGATTGGTGGATCACTTTCTGGGGGTAATAATCCCCCCCCAAAATTGGTCCTCAATCCACGACTGTTTGTGGGACACTGCTGTGTGCAATTGGTGCCACGTTTCACCCGCAAAATATGCAGTCAATCCCTTTACAATATATTCTGTGAAGCGCGTTGAGATGTCTCAACGATGTGCAGTCTTAATTTGGAATAATACCATAGCAATAATAATCCTTGGAGTGAGTACAGTATTTTTCATATCATCTCAAAGCACTTTGCAGGTTTCACTGTAAAGCGTAGGGATTTTAGGCAGAGGTTTTCCGCAGTTTTTCTCAATTCTGAGCTAACGTAAATTTTAAGACAAAAAGGTTTTTATCCGGGCGGAGGTGTGGCTGGACCGTGATGCCTCCCATTTGCTGGCATGTTGGGACGTGCCTTCATTGTGACTTTCTGTCTCTTTGCCCCCCCCCGCAGTCAGTCAAGCACAGTCTCCGCTGACCCAGAATGTGACGGCGGTCGAGGGCGGAACAGTAACACTGACCTGCAAAGTGGATCAGAATGACAACACCTCCCTCCAGTGGTCGAATCCCGCTCAGCAGACCCTGTACTTCGACGACAAGAAAGGTACTTGTGCTTAGTGTTTTTATGTTGGTGCTTTGTGTTTGTATCAAGGTGTCAGCCTGGCACCTCACTTTGAGGCAGAAATCTGGGGGTTCAAACCCCACACCAGGACTTTGAGCTCACAGTCTAGGCTGTCGCTCCAGTGCAGTCCTGGGGGAGCGCTTCATTGCCGTCCTTCGGATGAGACATTAAACCGAGGTCCCGTCTGCCTGTTCAGGTGGATGTTAAAGTTCCCGCAGCGCTATTGGGAAACAGAAGGGAGTTTCTCTCTCCCGTTGACCTGGACAACAAATTCTCCCTCCCCCCAAAAAAAAAAAATTAGTCACTTGCTTCGTGGCTGTTTGTGGGACACTGCTGTCCGGAAATTGGCTGTCACATATTTTGCCCACAAAAAACACAGTCGCTATACTTTACAATATATTCTGTGAAACGCTGGTAAAGCGCTGTGTCGAGTGTAATGTTCAGTATTGTTATCATCATTTACTGTATGGCTGTTTGTGGGACGTTGCATATGCCAAATATTGACTGCTGCAGTGCGGATCCCTGAGTGTCCAGCAGCTTGTGATGTCCCCCCTAACGTGAAAGGCGCTATACACGTGTCATTTGTTGTTGTTGTTGCTGCTGCTGCATTCGCTGACAAAATCACATTCACTACATCCTGTGAATCCTGCGAGGCACTTTGAGACCTCCTCCCGACGTCAAACGAGTTGAATCAAACGTAATGACCGTTGTATTATTATCTTGAGGTTTGTGTTTGTCGGTACTTTGGTCTGTGTTTGTGACCTGCTAACTCCATATAGACCTTTCCACTCCCTCCGCTCAGCAGGCTCTGTCCTGCTCCATGTCCCCTGCCCTGCCCTGGCCTGCCCCACCATCAGCAGTCGGGCCTTTCTACCCCTGCTCTTTAAAAGTCAATCCCACAGTCCCTCCTCCTCGCCCCCTCCCTTGCCTCCTTCAAGACCGTCTTCTTCGACCGGGTCTTCGATCCTACCGCCCCCACCACCCTTCCTCCATTCTCCCTGCCCTCTGCACCCCCTGATCCAACCCTTCTGCTCGGGTCCAAATCCCTGACCGTCCAGAGCCTTGGGATGTCCTCCCGACATGAAAGGTGCTGTGCAAATGTAATTTGTTGTTGTTTGAGGTTCGTGTGTGTCTGTGTTATGGTTCGTGTTAATGCGACCAGGTTGCTTGTTTTCCCTGCCCACGGCAGCGATCACTGAAAGGCTTGTGGGGAGAGCAGGGACCCTGAGCTAGCTGGAGAATGTGACAGCCGATCGGTGTCTGTCGGCAGCTCAGACCCACAGCCTCCTAAATGTATGTTTGGTCCTCGTTTGATTTTGACAATGAAAGCAGTGCTTGTGGTTATAATTACACACAGTTTGCAGTTGGCAGCCAGCCACAGAAATCACTGCCTTCGCTCACACACACCGAGCCCTGCCTCCCTCCCTCCCTCCCTCATTCCCTCCCTCCATTCACTCCCTCCTCCATCCGCTCCCTCCCTCATTCTCTCCCTCCATCCGCTCGCTCCCTCATACCCTCCCTCCATCCGTTCCCTCCCTAATTCCCTCCCTCCTCCACACCCACCTCACTTCTCACTCACACCTTCCTCCCTCCCTGCCTTTTGTATTGACTATATATATCTCTACTACTATAAATCACTCTGTGATGATATGACACAGTCTGACAGCCCTTTGTGTGTAACAAGCTTCTAAACGCCTGGGTTTATGTTGTGAATTCTTATTTTGGGAGATGTTGTTACTGTTCCAGTTGAAATAGCCTTTTCTCTGCAGTTCATGTCTCTGGTCACTATTTCAGTGCGCGGCACAGTCTGGTCAGCCCTGCCCTACTGTGCGCAATTGGCTGCTGAGACGGCCTCCCCACATGAAAGGCAAATGGTACTGTGTGTCCCGGCAATGAGGTGTGGTCACTGTGACTGTCTGTCCCCCAGTGAGTGAGTGGGTCAGTGTGTGGTCTGGTCACTGTGACTGTCTGTCCCCCCCAGTGAGGGGGTCAATGTGTGGTCTGGTCAATGTGACTGTCTATTCCCCCAGCGAGGGGGTCAGTGTGTGTGGTGTGAGCGCCTCTAGGCAGGCAGCTGGCGAGGCAGTGGATCAAAGGCTAGTTTATCCTTTTTGTTGCCGGGACACATTACCGTTCGAAAAGGATAAAAGGTGCCATTCCTCATGGCCAGTTCCCAGTCTAACTGGCATCATCAGGAGGACGTATTAAGAGCTCAGAGGCTTATACTGGCCGGGAGTAACATGACGGCCCCTCTTATGTTTTAAGCGATGAATTCCGATGAGGAGGGGCTACAGAGAGACAGCATTAATCACACTCTCGGGCTGCTGTGTCCGATCCCTTCCAATCCCCATGGCTCACCCTCGCAGAACGACTTTGAATCCCCCTCCACCAATAGCTCGCTGCCCTGACCCTATCCCTGACCCCAAGAGGCCCTTCTGCACTCAGCTTCACTGTCTTCAGCTACAAGGCTTGAAATTTCTTCAACAGATCAATTTCTTTTGAATTCCTTTCTTCTCTTTCGTGCGAGTCTCATGGAGCTGAGTCAAGCCATGGTCCAGGGACCTATTCTATAATAATCATCGTCCTTACATTTTTTACATAGCGCCTTTCACATCAGGTTGATATATCAAAGCACTACACAGGATTTACTATGAACTCTAAAAATAATAAAAGGATTTGATTGGGTCGATACAGAGAACCTATTTCCTCTGGTGGGGGATTCCAGTACAAGGGGGAGTAATCTTAAAATTCGAGGCAGGCCATTTAGGAGTGAAGGTAGTTTTTCACCCAAACGGTAGTGGAAATCTGGAACTCTCTCCCCAAAAGGCTGTGGATGCTGGATCCATTCAGATTTTCAAGATGGAGGTACATAGATATTTCTTAGGTCAGGATATTAAGGGATATGGGGTAAGGGTTGGTAACTGGACTTGAGGTACAGATCAGCCATCATCTTATAAAAATGGCAGAACAGGCTTGAGGGGCTGAGTAGCCTACTCCTGTTTCTATGACTGTGTAATTTTGTAGGTGAATACGGTACCCAAACTCCTGCAATCTCCTGCAAACAGCCATGAAGTGAGTGAGGCGTTGTCGGTTAGGATATTGGGCAAGAGAGAGAAACTACCTTCTCTTTTCGAATAGGCAGACGGGACTTCTGTTTTATGTCTCATCCGAAGGACGGCACCTCTGACAATGCAACACACCCCCCAGCACTGCAGTGTCAGCCTGAACTATAAAAGGGTGTGAAAATATGTGAAAATAACTGACAGAAAATAACAGCAGGACTTCACTTCTGAAAGATCACTTGCTGTATGCAATGCTGCTCCGAGCTAGCACTGGCCCTGATTTTTTTTTAGCTGCTAATGTAATTAGTTAGAAATACAAACCAGCTCAAAGCACAAACTAAAATCTCTGGGATCTGAAGCCAGGATTGACTGTGAAGGTTAAGAGGTGACTTGAGAGAGGCTTTCAAGCCTCTAATGTGCTCTGATTATAATTCTTGTTGACGGGATTTAAATGCTGAAGTGCGTGAGAATGCTTTTGGATGTGCCGAGGCAGCAGCAACAACAACTTGCATTCCAATTGGGTAGCGTCTCGGAGCGCTTAACAGTAGTGGAATGTGATGCTGAGCCGGGGAGAGAGGGGAGGCGACCGTAGGCCGGTCGAAGAGGAAAGTCTTTAGGTGCGATCCGAAGACGAGCAAGAGGGGGCAAAGATTGAGGCAGAGATTGTTTCACAGTCTGACGCTAGGCTGACCTCCATTGCAGTGCTGGATGGAGGGAGCTCTGCATTGTCAGAGGTGCCATCCTTTGAATGAGACATAAAACTGAGGTCCCATCTGCCTGATCAGGTGGACATTAAAAATCCCAGAGAGAGAGATTGAGGCTTAGATTGAGTTTCGGGGCTGAAAGAAAGGCTGAAAGCAGAACAAAAGGTCACAGGTTCTGTGTGTGTTGCACAATTTCAGGAGGTCTTGCTTTACCCAAAGCGGTAATTAATGACTTGAACAGTTACCAGGAAGTGTGCCAAAGACTATGATGCTGGACTCATTAATACAGTAATAGGAGGACTGTGGGGTTGGGGGGGGATGAAAGGATGAGTTCCAACAAACTGAAGGACCTTCTTCATCCAAACCAATGTTGTGATCTTGTAATTTTATTCATATGGCTTACAACATGTGCATGTGTGGTTTAGGACAGGTGTGGCTCAAAGCCAGAAGTTGGGAATTTGTGTCAGGCTGGCGCACTGGTAGTATTCTCACCTCTGAGCAAAAAGGGATGTGGGTTCAAGCCCAAAACGGTACTTCGAATCACCATAGCCTAATCTGACACTCCAATGCAGAGCTGTGGGGAGGTGTTGCATTATCAGAGGTGCTGTCCTTTAGATGAGATGTTAAACCGAGATCCGTTTGTCTGTTCAGCTGGACGTGGCACTAATCAAAAATAGAAGGGAGATTATCTCTCCCGGTGTCCTGGCCAACATTCCCCCGAATAAAATCTGGTCACTCACTCCATGACTGATTGTAGGATACTTCTGTGCACAACCGGCTGCCGCATTTTGCTCACAAAATACAGTCAAACCTCTATACAATATAACCTGTAAAGCACTTTGAGACGTCTCCATATCATGATAAGATGCTATATCAAATGCAAGGAATATTATTATATCTTATCGCATCTTCGCGATGTCTCAAAGTGCTTCACAGAATATATTGTAAAGTAAATTGACTGTATTTTGTGGGCGAAACGCGGCAGCCAGCAGTGTCCCACAAACAGTCGTGGATTGAGTGACCACATTTTGTTTGGGGGGGGTTACGCCACAGGACTCCGAAAATACTCAGTCACTACACTTTGTGAAGTCCTGTAGCTCAATGGTTAGAGCACTCGCCTCGCAAGCGAGAGACTTGTATTCAATTCCCTGCAGGGTGAAATATTGGGCAAGTTTCCTTAGTCCACACAGAAAAATAGGCCAAATAGCCTCATACT